GCGCCGGCCGGCTGTGCGGCGAGAGGCCAGAGCGACAGCGGCGGCGGCGGTCTGACGCGGGAGCGACAGCGCTCGGGTCCGCGTCGAGGTCCACTTCCTCACCGGTGCAGCACACGGCCGAGCTCCACCTCGTCGTTGCGGCCAGCGCCCGTGCTCCTGCTCGCCGTCGTACCCGCCCGGCCTCGCTGCGTGCACAGGGGCAAAAGGATCTGGGCCCACTCGCTGTCAGACGAAGCGCGAGGAAGCTGCTATTTTGGGCTTCACCTCACGCTGCTCGCTTGTCTCACCGTGTTTTCCGGAGCTTTGTGTGTCAAGCGTTTCCCTTTCTATCCGTTTGGCAGGGAGAGCTGTAAAACAGCTTCGAAGCGGTTCAATAAGCTATACCACACGCCTCAGCTTTTTTTCATATGTTGTGCACTCTACAGAATCATCATTGTTCTCTATCTTTTGACTAACGAGAAATCCATATTAAATAATGTTTATATTTAGAAATTCAATTAAAAAGGCTGGCCGGTAGAGATATTTTCATCAAATATCTATTTCCATAAATTAGGAAGGATATAATTTTTTTGTTGGAGTTGCTCTAAATGCTCGGAGGATCTTCTTAAAAGTTTCTTGCGCCCATAGCGTCCCAAGTCATCACACCTTAATCTTTGCCAAAAGGGAAATACATACTTAACTAATAACTACATTCATTTTCTTAGATGTCTGATCAACCACAGATATAATTCATCAAAATGTAAATGCATAACAAAAAGGTATACTTGTCTCGAACTTCCAGTACTTCAACATCGATCTCCCCAGCTTTGGAAAGCATTACTTTGTTTCAAGCGCCGCATTTCCAGTTGATCCGTCTTTGGTTCCAATTCGACAAAACTTTCTTGGACGTTTCTTAGAAATTTCTCCCTTCTGAATTTTCACAGAACGTAAAATTAATCTACAGCATTACATGTATGTATATACGTCTACGCCGTGTTCACTAGGCAATTAGTGAACTCCAACCATCATCAGTAGTGCGTCAGTAGAATAACGTCTACGGTCAATTTCTTCTCTTCGCGTGGAACCACACAACAACACACCAGTATTCCTGACGCTTCCAGTCCGTCTTCGTCAATGCCGGTCTTTCAACAGTGCAACTGCCTACCATAACTCGTTGGGGTAGTATTTAGACACAATGTTCACGGTAAAGACGCCGCGCGCGCCGACGGAAAGCTACATCGACCACAGGGGGTCCACAAGACGAATTGTAGCGCTAGCTAGCTTTCGAGCTTTTTTCCACGCAAGCATAAAGCTGAAGGATAGATACATCGATCGCCGGCCGACCGACTATTTTTCGTTTCCGCATAACATTTGAGAAGTTTTGGCAGCGCCTGAACCGCGTAAATTTGAATATGTGCATTGCGACTGCCCACTGCTAAAATTAGTCAGATTAACGTGCGAGTCGCACACGTAAAACCATCGAATTTTCAGAGTAAGTTCGACCTTGACAATGCAAAAAGAGCTAGACCGACATCCCTCATTATAAATACTGGTGGGTGATCGCGTACCTTAGTGCTTATGCTCCACTCTGTACTTGCAAAGTTGCATAAATTAATTTGGTACATATAGCGATCGAACCACTTCCCCACAAAACTCGTAGTACTTAGCTAAGTTAGAAGAGAGACTAGAGAGGAGCTGTGAGCTACTACGATTAGTAGAGATATGATGTTCGCCATCTCCATGTCGCCCACGATGAGAAAGGTGGTGGTGGCCATGCTCTTGGTTCTCATGGTCACGTCAGGCTCGGCCACCCGTGCCGCGGCGCGGGTGTTGTCGGGAGAACAGCCAGCCTCCCCAGCCGGCTCCACCAGCACTGCGTTGTTGCCCCCGCCCCCGCCGCCGGCAAGGTCGTCAGTGCATGGGCGAGGTCTGCACAGGCTGCTGCCGGTGGATGAGAATAAGTCATCAGGACCAGGCCATTCGTGTGGAACTAATGATAAAAACATCGGATGCCCTCCTCCTCGCTAGAGAATAGAGATGAACAGAGATATGGTGATTGCATTGGAACCTACGCTCCCATTACGTGAATAATGCCTGCATGCATGTACCGATGTAGGTCTAGCTCTCTAGCATGCATTGTAGTAAAAGTTATGTATTTAGATATAATGTATATTAAGATGTATAGAAAAAGATATATATGAACTGAATAAACTTGTGATTTGAAATAGAGAGAGTAGCATTTATTTGATTGCCACTGCATGCCCCTATGCCTTTTGTTTTGTACGAAAGTTTTCGGTCAACCGGTCATTATATACAAAGAACTGTAATACTCCCTGTATCCCAAAATAATTGTATATCTCTTTTTAAAGAATTTATTTTTTGAATTTTGATCAAATATATATATAATATACTAATATTCATAATGTGTAATAAGTATGATTCAATTAATAAATATATTTTTTCATAATAAACATATTAGTTGATACAGATATTAATAATATTTTTTATAAATCTCATTAAACTTAAAAATAACTACTTGGAAAAGCAAGATATACAGTTATTTTGGGACGAAGGGAGTATTTCTAAACGAAAAAACAAGCAGGATGTTACCCCCACCCCAACCAAAACAAAGTGCGAAAGATTACCCGCAAAAAAATATAAGTGAAAGATAGTTGAACTCTTATTACTCTTCTAGTTCCAAATCTCAGTATCTTTCTTCATAACAAGTACAAACATAGACACTCACATGCATACACATACACTCACCTTACCATGCTAAAAGAATAGTGCTGTTATTAGAACCTAGAATAAATTCAGAAAAAATGTGTGCACTTGCATCAAATCTAGGACTGATCCAAACATCCCGGATTATGAGTCGGATTATAAAAATCCAACGCCTAGATTATTGTAGTCCTGTAATCATCCATTTCAAACCTATTTTGCAAGCCGCTTGTAATCCAACTAATAATAATAATCTACATCTATAATCTAGAGATCCTAACTGTCTAGATTATTATAATCCATAATTAATCCATATACATATTATTATTATTATCTCGTCTATAATCTAGATATTGTACTATATATAATCCAATTGGGATCAAATAAGCCCTCAATTTGTTTGGACGCGTCGGACATGCCTGAGGCCCTGTTTGGTTGAGCTGTGGTTGTGGGAAAAAGCTGCTGTGGGCTGTGAGCTGTGAAAAAGCTGCTGTGGGCTGTGAGCTGTAGAAAAGCTGAAAGTTGTTTGGTTAAACAAGTATAAAATATACCTTTTATCTTTATCTCTCTTGAAACAACTATGGAAGAGCTTTTTATTCCACCAATTTCGAAAAGCAGAAAGCCAAAAGCCAAAAGCAGGGTCAACCCAGCTTTCAAAAATGAACTACGGAAAAGCAACTGCTTCTGAAAAAGCACCCTCCAAAAACAGTCCCTTTGGTTGGACTTTTGGCTTTTGGGACCAAAAGCCAAAGCCAAAAGCCCAACCAAACATGGCCTGAAAGACATTGATACGGTCGTACGTGGATCCATCCGCCTCACCGTGGTCCGGGACGGACTCCGGCAGGGCGGGGCCGCGCTTGACGTGTGCATGCACGGTGGCATTGATCACTGATCGAGGAGTCGGCAACGCGCGCCTGCTGAACCCTACGCCGGCCGGCATCCGGCCACAACCCGAGATTATTGTAAGCTTTTTAATTGGACTGGATGCAGTTTTCCGTTCTGAAGACCTACCAGTATGTATGCATGTAGAAGCAGAAGAAATCCGCGTGAAAGCAGCACCTCAGCGCGTGCGCCCTCAGTCTACCGCAGTCCGCAGTGTCGAGTCGCGCACGTCGTCATTAAGGAGGCAAGTCTTTGCATGGAAATTTCGCAGAGCTTTGAAGCTCCTATATATACCCGTGCAGATTATATCAAGGTATAGCTCAGAGAGGAAAACAAACAAGGTTATACGTACACTGCAGAAACCTACTAGCTAGCTACGCTGAAACTGTGTGCCAGCTTGCGTTGTAAGGATGGCCACGTCGATCAGTAGGTCGTCATTCGTTTTGCCACTGCTGATCGCGGTGCTGATGCTGTTGGCGGTGTCAGGGTCGACGGCGCGGCAGCTGGACCTGGACGGCGGCGACGATCGATCCACATCCACCGGCGGCGAGTCCGCCTTCGGCGTCGGCCGTCCTATCATACAGATCATGAAACGCCTGAACCTGCAGCAACTGACAGAAGCAGGGCCATCCTGCAGTACCTACGACAAAAACACCCCAAAGCCGCCAAACTGCCCCCCAAACCCCTAGACAATTCGACGGTGCACACACCAACCACGGCAAATCAAGAAATGGGCTGATCATGCATAAATATACGTCAGCTTTCATACTTCTCCTTCTCTATGTCATCGTGACGATGATATTCGGAACTCAGGTAGAACGACAATGTTTCCCGTAGTGCTCGGCAAAGCAGGTCTTTGCCGAGTGCCCGAAATTTAACACTCGGTAAAGATTTTTGCACTAGGCAAATCACGTGTTTCCCGTAGTGCGGTTGGTTGCTCCAACCGGAACTAATTCTGTCTTTAATTTCGAACAAAAAAAAAATGACCGGGACTAAACCCTAGAATCGGAAGTCTGTTCTCCGCTGCTGCAAGCTATAAGCTCTCCCAGGAGAACTGTAGAAACCCGTGTGAGAGCGCATTATTATATTATTACTAGCTCGTTTACTCGCAAGTGACGCAGTCTATACCGCACTTTTTCACGTCGTCTCGTGTCAAGCCACATGCCGTACACACGTAAGCAACGAGCTAACTATATTATACTCCTATACAGTATCTTGCATGGAATTTTCACAAAGCTTTAAGCCGCGCGCTTGACCTATATGCATGGCTATATATACCCGTGCAACAAATTCTATCGATCACTCGCTCGCTCGGCATCAATCCACCATCGTGCAAAAAACCAAGCTAGCTCGCGTCCATAGCTAACACTGCTGCACGTAGCAAAGCAAGAGCTAGCTACCGGTTCGTAGATATGGCCATGACCATGAACAGGTTCGTTAATGTTCTGCCATTGATGATGGCAGTGCTGATGCTGCTGGCGGCGCTGGGTTCGGCACGGCGTATCGAAGACAAGAAATGGACCGGCGGCGAGCTGGCCGCCGCCTCCGGCGACCATCCTATCATACAGTTTGCCAAGCACCTGTACCTGCAGCGACTGCAAGCAGGAGCACATACCTCGTGCGGGACTTTTAGCCCACAGAATCCGAATTGCCATCACGGCTGACTGAAGGCAAATAGGAGAAATCCATAATGGTTGGCACCATCAATAGATGCACTTAATTAAAGTAGTATGTACAATTAATAAGTTTCTGTTGTGGTGTTTCCCATGTGTGAGAATAATCGCTACGATGACAATGTGTGTGATGATTACGGTTTACTGTATAATGTTTGGCTATATTGTAAGTGTCCGGAACGTATGCTTTTCAGAATAAAGTGATTGGCTTGTTTGTGATGCATGTAGATCCCTATATGTTGCTTATAGCTTAAATATATTGAAGTACTTCAGCAGTACTTTTTAGTGAAAGAATAATTTTTCCTCTCACTACAAATCAGCATAAGCCAAATTTCAGCAAAACGAACATGGCCGACTCCTTTTTTGTGAATCACGGTATAATATTGTCAAATTCTAGAATAAAATGTGACCGTCCATGTAATCTTTTTTTGTGAATCATCGTATAAAATTGTGGAGCTCCGGCCAAGCCCTAGTGCGCCGCGCGGCGGGGTGGTGGCAGCGGCGGGGGCGAGGTTCGTCGGAGAAGAAGAAGACGCCGGGCGTGAGAGAGAGAGAGAGAGAGAGTGCCGCAGCCGTGGAGCTCTAGCCAAGCCCTAGCGCGCCGCGGCGTGGTGGTGGCAGCGGCGGGGGAGGTTCACCGGAGATGAAGAAGACGCCAGAGAGTGAGAAGACACCGGGCATGAGAGAGAGAGAGAGTGCGGACGTGGAGCGGCCGGCCGTGCGACTGGCCTAACGCACGGTTGGCCGTATTTTAGAAGTGTCTAATACATATTTCTTTTTTTCGTCCCATCAAAACTTAAGAAAACGTGCATCACTACTGCTAGCCGAAGCCCACCGCCGCATGTTTTTGCAGGGTCGTGGCCGCCCTCCATGGAGGGCCTATCTTCCCCTTACCAGGTCGAAGGAGCTCTCACCGCCAGGGGTTGGACGGCCAAGGGCGGTAAACGGCACCCGTCATACACAGTCGCCCAACAAAAGTACCTTTGTACCCTCTGAATTCAATTTGTGAGTTGTGAACTTGCATTGTTTGGGTTGGGCCGACTCAAACAGCCCTTCAAAAGCGCCATTGTGCCTTTTGGATTTAATCTGAAATTAGTTTCTGATCCACTAATTTTAGGGACTAGGTCACATCTTAAATTTCTCTTAATTTTGAACCATTAGATCTTACCAGATGGAACACTATCATTATTAGCAAAGATAAATACACTTCTGTTTCTGTGGATAGATCCATATAATTGAACAACAATATCAATGATGAAAAAACAGTATATATAACTATAAAGTAACCAAAGTTTCTGCTAAGACTTAAATCATGGTTAGTCGACACTCCGCAGCAACAAAAATCAGGAAATCATGAAACAGTACTATGAAGTAACCAAGTTTCTGTTTGGCACCGTGCACTCCACCACGACCACGTCAATCCGACTCTGTTTAGTTGCTTTTATTACTGTGTGTCGAGTTCTTTTCATCGAACTGTAATAGTTCGTAATTTGTAATCGGGAACCAGAACTTTTATTCTCTTCTTAATTGAAGTGCAGCGCTCCTGCCAATAAGTTCAAAAAAAAATCCGACTCTGTTTTGCCGGTTTGATGATGCTGGAAAAACAAGAGACGAGCAGTGTACACATAGGGACGTGATCTACAAGCTAGCACGTCTGAACATTTTCACCGGCAGTCCGGTCCAGTCCAGCTGCATGCATGCTACTCGGTTCTGGCCCTGACTCGGCCCATGCACGGCGCGTCAAATTGGGATATTCTCATGCAACGTTCAGGATTTGGCCTGTGGAAAATCCGATGGTCCGTGCTGTTCAAAGCAGAAGCGCATATTATAAGGGGGTGTTTGGAAAAACTGGAGCGAAGCAGACCCCCCAAAAGTCCTCTCTGTTGGATCGGGTCAGCGGTCTCCGTCCAGCTATGTGATTGCGATTTGTGAATGTGAGACTAACAATAGTAGTGATGGACAGAGACCTTTTTCGCTTCGAGACCGACCGTCAGTTAGACTTGGACTAGAGTAGGAAATTTTGACTGGCCTACTACGCACGTATTTGCAAAATATGCAAATGCTTCGTGACTTCATCAGGTTGCTTATCTCATAAACAAAAGGAAAAGGTATTCGGATTTAAAACGAAAAGAAAAGAAAAGATATTCTCCTGTCTGCCCACCAGCAAACTAAATATATATAAGTCCTCAAATATAACTAATTAATCAAAGTTGAAGTGAGAAAAAGGTACTTTGTCTCCAACTTTCACTTGAGCTCTGATCTCACCAACTATAAAGTGCCCCATAATTTATTTGCTTGAAGCGCCGCATTTCAAAATTCATCAGTTTCTCATGGATTAGACGGTTCATACTCATACGGAGTAGTAATCGCGCGTGTGTTTGGCACTGAGCGTCCTTCTTGAAATTTCTCCATTTTTCTGATCGAAAGCTAAACTGTTTCTCCTTCTGAACCTTAGGAGAACATCAAATCAGCGCACATCACTCCGTACTCCGTGATCACAAGGCAATTATTAGTAAAAATGCCAAATAATCACTAGCACTATTACCAGTTTCTCGATCGATCATCGATGAGTTTATTCTCGATCTCCGCTTGGAACAAAGCAGCAGTATTCCTGACGATTTCACTCCGTCTTCCATGCCGGTGTAGGGAAATTACTGCCCTAGTGCCCTACCGTAACTTGCTGGCCGGATAGACACATTGCTCACGGCAATGCAAAAACGACGGCAACAGCCAGCCCAACACCGAAAGGTCCGAAAAGGCGAAAGGGCGACATCATCTCAGATGAGGAATTGGAGCGCTAGTTTTGGAACTTGTCGCAAATTCGTAAGAACGGATCGCCTGACCGACATCTTTTGCTAGCAAGTTAAACACACACTCGTGACGTCGGCGCAGAGAGCGTGGACTTGTATACGTGTGCATTCCTAGCTTGCTTTGCGAACTAGTCAGCTTAATTAAATAATTAACATACGAGTCGCACACGTAAAAGGTAAAACCATGGAAGTTTCAGTGTGAGCTCGACCGACCTACATACACGAAGAGCCTCTCGACATCCCATTATCCCTCTTATAAATACTATAGTGATCGCGTACCCTGCTGCTTATAGCATCCTACTAGCCAAGTCGTACGATTTGGTAACAGCTCGAGCGAAATTGCTTCCAAATTCCAAAAAAAAATCGTAAACCTAGGTGCCGAAGCTAGAAGGAGAGAAACGTACTGTGAAGTGTGACTGTGTGAGCAACTACTGTAATTACTGATGATGTCGTCTACCACCTCCTCCACGTCCACGGTGAGAAAGGTTATGGTGGCCATGCTCTTGGTTCTCGTGGTCACTTCGGCGGCCTTGGCCACCCGTGCCGTGGCGCGGGCGTTGCCGGCGGGAGCACAGCAGGCCGCCTCCGGCGGCATCTCCACCAACAACGATGCGATACCGGCGGCGCCACCGGCGACGAGGTCGTCGACGCATTGGCGTGGCCTGCAGAGGCTGCTGCTGTCCTTGGAGGAGGAAAATTCAAAAGCAGGCCATTCGTGTGTAAGCGGTGATCCTAACAATGGATGCCCGTAGAGAACTAGAGACGGACGGATACGGACCGTACGTACATGCATGCATGCATGGGAGCTACTCCACTAAATTTAGGTCGATAGGCGCCTGTTATATGTTGGGTTTGAGTAGTGTAACACGTAATTCTTTAATTTTAGCTCATACTATATCCGTTCCATAAAAAGACTCGTGCTGGTCAAACTATTTTTTAAGTTTAACTAAGTTTCTAAAAATATTATCAATATTTATATCTTCAAATAAATTTATTATGAAAATATATTTAATAACGTTCTATCTAACGATACTAATTATATGTCAATATTTATATTTGTTATGAAAAAAAGAGAATATATTAATATCCTAGCCTCTACATCGACTAATGCATATGGTTGTTCATTATTACAAACGGGCGAAAAAAGTCCAAAGAATCTCAAACACGAAGTTTTGAACCATGAATACAACAAAAATCTTAAAAGGAAAGACTAAAGAGCAATTATGTTGCTAAAACGCCAGCCGTGTCTAGCAAACACCTCCATCGCGGCCGTCTTAATAATCCTACAGCCCGCCTTCATGAAATGGCGATCCTCCTCCTTATGAAGTAATATCCAGTACCTGGTCCAATACATTCCCTTAAAGATAACCTGCAAATAAGACGGTGCTATAGCCTTGTCAAACACAACATCATTCCGAGTTAACCAAAGAGCCCAACAAATAGCACTTGCACCCACAAGAATTTGAGACTTCCTTTTCCTATTTAACCCTTAGAACCAACCTGTAAACAAATTATGTACACTAATTGGGGGTTTCAGGTTAAAGAAAATAAGAACAATTCTCCACATAAATTTATCATAATGACAGTCAAAGAGTAAATGGTGTATGGTCTTATTAGTGGAACAGAAACAACACTTCCTATCTCCTTGACACTGTCGCCTAGCTAAATTATCCTTGGTCAAGATTACGCCTTTGTATAAATACCACATAAAGACTTTAATCTTGAGGGGTAGTTTAAGTTTCCAAATTAAAGTGTTGTAAGGTAAAGCCTGTACACCTAATAATGCTTTGTACATGGAATTAACTGAAAACAACCCTTTCTGATGCAGCCCCCACACAAAGCGATCCCTTTGGTTTCTTAAGTATACATCTGCAACCATGGCCATTGCATTGTGCCATGCTTGCAAATTAACCCCCATCAGAGATCTCCTAAAAGCTACATTTAACGGTGTCGTAGACAGTACCGTCCTAACAGATGCACTTTTCTTTCTCACAATGTTATATAGTGACGGGAAGAGCGTCTTGAAAGGGCGTGGCGTTATCCATGAATCCTCCCAAAAACACACTTGGGATCCGTCACCTAGATCAAACCTACCCATCGACAGGAACTCACCCTTGACCTTCATAAGGCCAGCCCAAAACTGAGAGTCCCCGGGCATATATTGAACCTGAGTCAAAGTCT